CTTTCATGCACACACCTGTAAACCCACAGTTCTTAAAGCGTCTCTCCTTCCCCTCTCACCACCCACTCGTGACAATTAGCAGCAAACAAACTTGACTCTGGTTAAAATAAATATTTCTGAAGCGCTGAGCAAGTCTCAGTTTTAAGAAAGAGACTTTTCTGAACTATTGTTCGAGCCAGAGAAACAATCACAACCAATTGCCAGTCGTCTCCTCACCTGCAGATGTGCACAGGAGCATTTCATGGTGCATAACGCAAGAAGAAAACAAACGGTGACACCTCCCTGACATCGCTCAAAACCTTGGATCAAGCTGCAACACATAGTGACAGCTCCCTACAAAAACCTAACTAACCTGCACTGTTTTGGAAAATGGGGAAAATACGATGAATCAAGCTTTTTAACCTTAAACTCCTGCTACAAACTGAACACAAATGATACTCACAGATCACTGAAGCACAAAGAGCTGCTGGCTTTACCAAATGGTAGTCACTTGGAAGACTCGTCTCGCTCTTTGAAAGCCTTGTGCAGCTGAAATGACTCACATCCCCTCTTCCAACCTCTGTCAACCATCAAGAGGAGGTAAACATTTCCAAATATGGAGAAAATATGAAGACACTATTGAGGTTAATATCAGTTTGGTTTGCTTTCAACTTGGAATGCCAAACTGTGTGAGCCAGTCGCTCAGCAGAGCCAGCTCTGTGGTGCATACCTCTCACTAGGAATAATAATGATGATTGCAGAGAACTTTTCACAGTTGTTTTGAGCTCAGTCTGACCCAAGATGGGTAAAAATGTGAGCCTGCCTTATTGTTTTCTTAAGACTAAATGCAAACAGTAAAAGATGAGTAGTGTTGAAGTTATAGACACAAATCTTTACCCATTGCTAAACTGCAGGGAAACAGAATCCACCAAGCCCAGATTGGCAGGTAGAGTTAGCCCATTTACTTCAAGAAGCTATCTTATTGCACAGATTGTCCTCAAGTGGCTAAGAAGAAGTAATTAAAGCTTGATTACTCCCACGAGTGCAATAGGTCAAAGGCTTAACAGCTGCTAAGGGGAGAAAATTACAATGCCCTTCCTAGACGGGAGATGCATTGAGGAGCAATTTGGCTCGGGAGTCCTCGTTTCCTCAAACAGAACAAACCTACTTCATTTAGGTCCCTCAGGAAAGAACTGCCGGTACATTCACACCATTTAACACTCGTACATTACAGGGAAAGGCTTCTAGTAGACAAACCTGGAGACGTCTTGCTTTGTTGGAGTAACCTTCATGAAAATGCACAAACCTGATAGATATCTTATTTATCACAATGCCAGCTCAACATTTGTTTCTGAAGTCATGTCATTTTCTATAAACCATCAGCTCAGTGACTGAAAAAAGATCAAAGAAGGAAAAGTAGGATGTTGAAAAGAACAGCTTTTATTTTTTGGAGTATGTTCCATAGACAGACCAACACCAAAATACAAACTACAAGTCAGTTTGGAGGCACATTAATATATGTATGTATACGTAGGTCTCTCTTGTAAATGAGTCCTGGTGACTCAGTGGGACTAGCCTGTATAAATAAAGGTTGAATGAATATACAAACAACTAAACTGGGCATATAAAAATGTTTCCAGTGTCATCACTGACAGAACAGCTGTAAATATTCTCAAGCTGTTTATATCACATCACAGTGTTTGTAGAATAAGACCATTTAGACACCGATCACTTATTATTTGACTGTGGTCACATCCTTCTTCCTGGAAACAAGCTCCAGCTCTTCCTGCGGAACCCCAAACCATTTTCAGGACAGAGAGGATACATAATCCCTCCAATGAGTTCTGGATCTGTCCCAGGTCTCTTCCCGGTGGGACATGTCTTGAAACCCTCCAAAGTAAAGTGCCACGGAGGCAGCCTAATAATGTGCCCAACCCACCTCAGTTGACAACTTTCAATTTGGAGCAGCAGCTTTACTCTGAGCCGTTTTCAACTTACACCACGCCACCTTAAAACCTGACGTATAATAAACAAGCAGAGTGCTGGAGCACCACGTCGCTGACGGATTTGAATAGTGACTTTTTGGCCTTTTTCTAGATGAGTGTTTTTCTGGCCTGGAATTGAACAGGGAATTCAAGTAAATGGACTGTACTTGTATAGCGCCTTTCTATCTTATCAAGATGCTCAAAGTGCTTTACACTACAATCCGTGTCCTCATTTACCCGTTCATACAGCACTCTACTAGATCTCTACAAAGCTTATTGAACAAATCATTCTAAAGAGACTAAACAGAGCTTCATCACATTCATACACTGATGGGACACGCATCAGAGGCAACGAGGGGCTCAGTGTCTTGTCCAAGGACACTTTGGCATGTGACTGCTGGTGGATTCAAGCAAACCTTAATATTTTTAGTGCAAGTTATTCAAGTGGGTAGGAGAATAACAAAGGAAGGTTTTTGTCTTTTGTCTAAGGCAGCACAGAGTGACAGATCCTGTCGAGTGGAGGGAGCAATTTTATCCTCCGCCAGGCACAATGGTGGAGCCAGGAACTGGCCAATGGTGGCCTTGGCCACCACCACAGATTAATTTTCACCCACCCCAATCATTCGATGAAAGTATACTTTTAAGAAATATAAAAACTAGAAAAAACATCCTTGACAGAGAGGAATGTTGGTTTGCGAGAGGAGTAAAGAGAGCCATCTTTGTGAAGAGAGCCCGTCCATCGTTAAACAGGGGTCCATGTCCAACTGTCTCTCTCTTATGATGATGTTATTGTGAATATCACTCAGCCCTCTGTAAATAGCAAGCGGCCATCAGGGCACCAACGATAGCTCTTTTTACACGTGAACAGCTAGTTTTGGCTGTAACCAGTAAACTGGTTGATCCACTATTAGAAGGTGTTATTTATAAGACTGAGTTTGTTGCAGCTCCTCAGACTGAAGTAGTTTTTTAGATAAAAGACAAAACTTTTCAACAAAGAAGAATCCGTCCAGAGGACCTGACAACTTTGTTAGAAAGCAGTTTACTCAAATGAGGAGTGATTAGTTTATATGGCAGTAGCCATCTTGGATTTTGGCAACACAATTTTCAATAGGGACATTTCTTACACATACATGCAGCCACACACCAACATGGAAGTCTGTACCTCACTTGCTTTTCAAGTAATCCAGCTCACAAGACAGAGAGACAATACTTCCAATTCCCCTTTTTACTCTGCCAATTGGGACAAAAATACAGTGCCTATCAGAAGTACTCATCCCCCAGGACATTTTGTTGCTGTCATGGTCAAAATAAATTGGCCTTTACAAAAAATATTCATAAACACTTTATTCAAAGTCAAAATGAAATCAAATTCCTACAGATACAAATAAAAATATATAATACAAAACAAGTTATTGCATAAATATTCACCCCCTTTACATTACCTCTCCTAATTCAACTCATAGATAAGATTATTGAAAAGTACAGGTCAGGGGATGGATACAGAGGGATTTCCAAGGTCTTAAACATCCACAAGAGTTCTGTTAAATCCATCGTCAAGAAATGGAAGAAATATCAAACGTGTAAATGTACCATGACCAGGTCATCCTCACACTGAGTGACTGAGCAAGAAGAAGAAGAATGAGAGAGACCACTAAGACATGTTTGACCACTCTGAAGGAGTTACAAGCTTCAGCAGGTAAGATGGGTGTAGTCTGCGTGATACTCTGGTATACGGAGTATACCCACTAGAAAAGCTTAAGAATTTCAGTATACTCACTTAAAAGTGCCCAATGATACATGACATATCATTAGGCACGTGTCATTGATACGTTAAATGGCAAACGCTTCCGTAACAATCTATCAGCATGCAGCGCTTTGCTATGATACCGTTTTATAAATTCTATAACATTTTTAATACAAAGCTGTGTTGTACAAAGTTTGTTGTTCATTTATTCAAATATAAGCATCAGAGAAATTTTGAAATGTTCAATATGCTTAAAAATCTAAATAAATTGACAATTACGTTGTACTAACCAGTGCACTTTGGTTTCTAAGCGCAGTATACCCATCAAAATATAGACTACACCACCGGATGGGAGAGACTGCGTATACAACTGCCACCTGGGTTCTTTACCAGTCTGAGCTTTAAGGAAGAATGGCAAAAAAAAAGTCTCCCAACAGTTCCAACTTGGTCTCGTTAGACCATAGAACTTTCTTCCACTTGACCAAGGAGTCCTCCACATGCAGCTTGGCAAACTCTAGCAAGATTTAATCCGTCTCTTCAACAGTGGCTTTATTTTTGTCACTTTCCCCATAAAGCTTAGAATGGTAAAGTACCTGGGCAACAGTACCAAAATAGTTTTACTGCATACTTCTTTAACAGAAATATGGGCTGTGGTAGCTCTGGGTCAGTGCCACGGCCTTTTAAGCATCAGGCTGAGAGTTTGAGCCCAAAGGGCTTCCGATATACAACGATTGCAAAACCTTTCATGCCAGGTTGCTCACCGTGGCGAGCCAAGCAGAGGGAAGCAGTCGAAATAAAAACTACTAGTACTTGAACTAGTACTTGGAAATTAAAAAAGAACCAATCTTGTGTCAGTTTAAAAAACAACATTAAGTTAATTCAGCTTTGGACAGATAGTCCTGTTAATTCCACTGATTCTTTTTAAACCAAAGTGCTTCATTACCCTCAATCACAGATTGACATCCAGTGTATGTGTTCCATGCCAGTACTGCAGTCGTATAAATTTTAAAAAACACCTTCAAGAAAATGTTTTAAAACCGTTTGCTTCGTGTTTATAATGTGACCTGACGCAGAGGTAATGTGCAGCAATTAAAAAGTGGAACGAAAAACTTCATCTTCAAACAACGGTTAGCGCTTCGAGTCTAATGTTCCTTTTAAACATCGCACATTCTCACGCAGAGTTTGAAAGGTTAAAAATAAATTGCATTACCATTTAAACAGTAAACATAAAAGCGAAGGACACCACAGAAAATGCAAAAATAAAATAAAAAAGTTCAAAAATGTTATCCTACCTCTTTGAATAGTGGGAATTTCTGGAAGGCAGCTGAAGCTCTTTGCCGCGTTTTGATCTGTTTACAACGAGAAATAACAAGTTTATGTTACTCAAACAGATTAGCCAACTATAACCAGGCTGTGCACGACCACACCAGCATAGTAAACAGATGTTGTCATCTGGGAGGCATTATATTCTTGTGACTATCATTCATTAGCAGAAAGACGGAGCTTGGCCTGGCTCCTATAAATTCCACCTGGGAGCCACAGGTTGTCCATTTATAGTCCAGTCTGTCAGCCTCGTCACAATGCTGGGGCCCAAAACTAAACTGGAAACGTCCACAAGAAAAACAATGCTGATGGGTGACACCACAGATTATGTGCAGAAGTCAACAAGCAATAATCAAAGCAATAAATAATCATCACTGGTGGAAAAGGAACCAGTTGGATAAGTTTGCATTGACAGTCTTACAGTTGGTGTGTTGAAGCACACGAGCACAGGCCCCAGCTGGTGAAGGTCTAAACAAAAACAGAGGTGAGCATATCTGTTTGGATGCCTGGTAGATGTCTTAACGCCAGATTAGAGCAGACTGTGAGTAACCGTGTAAGACAAGAATCAGAACGTCTGCGCACAGACTGCTGGTCCACAACCAGCCACAGCTCAGTTTCTGTGCGCCTGTCGGAACATTGTGCTGAAAAAGGCTAACAAAACTAAAGACATGAAGCTGTGATTGCACAAAAACAAAACTCAAGTGAACCATTGTCGACAGGGAACTATCTTACACTTAAATGCAGTTACACACCAAAGTGGAAGACGGTTAAGTTGCTTATTTTCCAAGTTATCCTGCTCACAACATGCACAGACGGGTGGAGGGTGTTTTCAATTACGCCTCTTTGCTCCGGGACAAGGGACTAAAATGAGAGGCAGCGCTTCCACTAATCAGGTTCTTCTCTTGTGTAACCAAGGTTGTGTCTGTAAAGTTCACACTCTACCTTTAACTACAGGAGTCCCTCGCTACTTCACGGTTCATTTATCACGGACTCGCTCTATCGCGGTTTTTCAAAGTAAGACTGGACATGACACACAACTGGCTGATTGATGGATGAGCCGCACGATCTACATGCAATTTTTATTTAAAATAAATTAGTTTAAATTATTTAGCAACTGCTGCACATTTGTGCAGCCCACACAGACTGTCATGATTTCCGCTTTGCAGCGGAGAAGTGGGCGTGGCCAGCAGAGAAGTGGGCGTGGCCGAGAGCGCTGGCAGATGGCAGAGAGCAGCCGGAGGCAGAGAGCTGAAATCATGACATTCTGTGCTCACTTGGAGCGTTTAGAAACATTGTTTAGAACATTGGAAGAGTGTGGGAAGGGTTTAAAACACATTTATATACATTTTTTAATTTTATTTAGAGTTTCCTTCTTTCGGCGTCACCACAGCAAACTAAGTCGCAAAATGACTTGCCTGTTATTTTTATGCTGGATGTCCTTCCTGACACAACCATAGACCACCGAGCTACCACAGCCCTCTGTGTGGAGCAGAGAGCTGCTATCTTCGGCACCCGGGGGAGCAGATGGTGGGGGTTAAGGGCCTTGCTCAAGGGTCGAGAATGGGGCAAATGAGGGTGGAGGCAGTTGTGGATGCTTCACCTATCACACCCACATTTTGATGTCGTCGGTACCGAGAGTTGAACCAGCGATCTTCCAATCACAGGCCCATCTTCTCTGACCTCTACATCACCACTCCCTCATACAATGAGAACACCCTGCAACTTTGCAACTTCTCCCACTTAGAAATCATGGAGGGGTCTGAAATATTCATGTTAGGTGCATGTCCACTGTGAGAGACATAATCTTAAAAAAAATATCCAGAAATGACAATGTAAGATTTTTTAAATAATTTATTTGTGTGTTACTGCTGCAAATAAGTATTTGAACACCTGCCAATCAGTTCTGGCCCTCAAAGACCTGTTAGTCCGCCTCTAAAAAGTCCACCTCCACTCCACTGATTATTATAAATTAGAAGCACCTGTTTGAGGTCGGTAGCTGCATAAAGACACCGGTCCACCCCACACAATCAGTAAGACTCCAACTACTAACATGGCTAAGACCAAAGTCAAAATTTGTATTCTGTCATCTGGAAAATCTGATTTATTTTTCCATTTTATAGCAGAATAACGTCTAAAGCCTCGATGAGTATTGACATAAGTATAAGTTATTTAATATAAGTATAAGTTCTGTTAACAAGACGGAAGATGATGCTCTAAACTTTCACTACTAACCACGACTACTTACAGTAACAACTACCAGAACACTTGACCCGACTCTTGTGAAGGTTCTTCTGGGTCCTGAGCTGTGTGGAACAAGAAATCACCAAATGCCTAGCATTCCTTGAAAGAGTTCATATCGCCCGACCCCTTTTGACTTATAAGTGACAGAATTTTAGTTCTAGTCAAAACTTAGACGTCTCAGGAGAGACTGTGTTCGTGCTCAGAGTTTCTATTGTGAATGAATCTCAGCTACTACTACACCAAATTTTAGTTCAATACCTTTGGTTGTAAAAGTAATGAAAGTTTCATATGTTTAATGTTTCCCTGCTCTGAACGCATATCCAACACTTTCACCTACAAACTACGCTATATGCTACTGTAAAAAAAAAAAAAATATATATATATATATACCAATTATTTTTACATTAGTGGCATAATGTCAACACAAGTTCAAATCATCCAGTAACTTTAGCAACTATAAGTTGAACATTATTAACTTGGCGTCATAAAATATTTTGACCATTCTGAAGTGGCGTTTGGTTTCAACCTTACACAAAATAGTATCTTACCTGTTGTACATAACTTATTGAATGACCTGTTAGGAGAAATGAACTTTACTTCTGACAGGACTGACAGCCTAAGTGGATCATTGTGGATCGTTTGAAAGCTTTAGTGGTTGAAAATGTCGTTTCATAGACTTTTACATCACCATCAAATTTACCTTTAATGGTCATTTACAAGTACAAATAGCAGCAGCATCAAGCTGTAGCACTTCTAATGCCGCCGTCTGGATGGAATTTTATATTTATTTGAAATAAATGCAATGCAAACATGACGATGATGAAGAAATGTATATATTACACAAATCACGATGAAACTCTGAAGAACAAAACTGTTTGAGGAGAGCCATGATACACGTTGGAAGTAGGTCCTTATTAACTAGTCAGTACTTCCTGAACAGACCCACTTTCAAAGCAGACTGCTGCCATTTCAAAACAACTGCATTCAACAAAGTTTCATATAAATTAATGCAAATTCCATTACTGAAACCTTTGCACCACTATGACCTTAGCGTTCAATCGTTTTTCCAAAGAAATGCTGTGAAATTGTTACAGGATCTGACCCCCTGGCTCTCCCTGACTCCTGCCACTACTTGTGCTAACAAATAAGCAAAGACATCAATGTACTGTAAGTAGTGAGGCAAAGTGAATATAATGGCAGCGTGAATGATTAAGAAATATCATTTGCATGAATTGTCATGAAAGTTTAAAAATGGAGCTGAATTAGGAGAGCACTAACACACTTTGCTCTTATTCAGACTAGATATTAGCTTGTCAGCCCGATCAAGATAGAGCACACGCAGATCTATACAATCACTTCCTGGTTTGTATGATGCTCACACTCGATGTTTAATACAGCTTATTAAACAAGTGCAAACATCTACATGGAGCCTGGTTGACTGTCATAAGCATTAGTGTCAGAAGCATTTGTAATGTGGGGGTACACACTGAGGGGGGGCTGGGGGGGTTCCTCGCCTTGAAATTTTTGAATAAAGTAGATGCCATTTCCTTTATTCTGGTGCATTTTAACAGGTTGTTAAACATATGTTTACCTATAAAGACTTTATTCAATACCTATATTAGAAAGCAACAAGAAGTAGCCTGACCAACAGCTCTCCTTGTGTGAATAGAACACACTTCACTTCTCTCACACATCCTAACACCCCCACACCCCACCCCGGTCAACAACAGCCAGCACTAACGTAACTCTAAGCTAGTGGCGTGCAATACAGACCTGATGGCTAAGATGCTACAGAAATAGCACTCTCCTTCTCTCATGTATCCTAACCCCCCGCCCACCCCGGTCAACAACAGCCGGCACTAACGTAGCACAAAGCTAGCACGCAACACAGAAGTGGATCCTCCTCCTCCTTCCCCCGTAAGCGTACTGCCAAGGCAAGCGACCTCAGGGTGTGGTGAGCAGTTATAGGTAACAAGGAAAACCTGGAGTGGACTTTTAGTGGTTTAAGTATTCTCCTGTTAATCAAGTGGAATGGATTTGTTCACAAAGAAATAGAAACAGCACTGGGTGAACTAATATTTCATGGTAAATGTGGGAGCGTCCAAACCAATGTTTATTAAATGTGAGGGGGACACATCCCCTTCACATATAATCGATGTGACTCCTATGATCATGTCACAAATCATTGTTGATGTGATGCTTGTTCATTAAGGGTGCCAATGCCCGAGTAAGCACTGAATCACCCTTACTACTACTCTGCTCACTATTTTTATTTATTTTCACACTCAGCAGCTTAAGAAAAAAACATGACATATGCATCAAAAGGTATGGTTTGATTAGGAATAGTGTGCTATAACTTTTGGGAGGGGTACATAACACAACAAGGGCAGAATTTGCCCCAAAAATATGTGAGAATTCATTATATTTTGTAAAAGACACAAGAAAGACACCTGTCTCACATTTAATGTGCTGTGCTCCAAAACAATGCAGCTGAGTTCTTCTCCATGCCTCCTTCGGTTCTGCACTGCTCGCTTCATTTCTGAAAACTAGGGGTGCACCGATTGCAGATTTCTGGCCGATCACCGATCTAAGCCTGACCTGCTGATTCCGATTTTGGCCGACACAATTTTCTTTTATAAGCGACACCGTCAGTTGTTATAAGGTCATAATGCACCTTCAATTTTCTAATCTTATTTTATAGAAAAACATACCCTTGAACAATATCCTAGAAACAATACAAACTTGTTTTAACTGGCCATGAGGTAGTGCTCTGAAATATAAATGAAGTTTAGACAATTGTTGTTGAAACTAAAAAAAAAAATCTGTAAAATTGATTTCTCATGCAAGTACTGGCCGATCTCCCAAAATGAAGGTAATAGGGGCCGCACCCCTACTGAAAACTCACATCTGTATGGGGAGTGGTCGGCTTTATCTGGTATTTAAGAACAGCCCAAGTGAGGAGAAAGCTGAACTGGTCTTGAGATGCCATTTTGCATAACTGTTTTAAGAAAGAGCCTAGAGTTTCACTGAGACACTCAAACAGGCTGTGCATGTTCCCACGACAGTTGATCCCGTCACACTCTCTCCATTAGTGGGAGTTTGGTCGCGTGTGCATATCAAATGCTAATGACTTCACTCTGGGTGTATTAGCATTTCTTACAATATTACATTTTAGTTACACAAGTTCCAGGAGTTTTAGGCAATACTAAATTCTTTATGGGAGGGTGGGATAGTGGTAGGTGTGGGGATAGATCCAGCAGAGCCACGACCCTTCGTTCGCAGGCCCACCCTCTTTAACCTCTGCACCACCACTCCTCTCCCTAAATACTATAAAAACGTAAAGATTCCCGTGACTTTCAGATCCCTCAGCTGCTCCCGGTTCAGGGATTATTTTTTAACACAACATATAGTACTTGCACAGTGACTGTGCAGCACGACGGCTCAGTGGTTAGCACTAGCTATGTTTACATGCGCAACATTCTTTGACCGGATTGAAACGTTTTCAGATTAAATAATTCAAATGTATTGTTTACATGGGCACAATCTGTTCATGATGAGCGTTTACATGCAGCGGGCTTTGTTCTGAGCAGCAGTACTGACATGCGCAGAGTGGTAAACTCTCCTGAAAAAACCACCGAAGAAGAAGTTCTACTTCCGGGATGAACGTAAACAAACCTGAGCGCCCAAAATGGACCCGCGACAGGTTTTAATGATGGTGGAGACGTTACTGCACTCCCTGACTGAGCTACAGGTGATACAGATCATTTTGAGCTCTTTCAAAGTTTCTAGTAGAAATGTTGTTGACCAGTTTTGCTTCACTGACATGCTAATATTATTAGCATTAGCCAGGCGGAAATGGCAAAATCGCACATGCGCAGTCAGGTCAGTTTTTCACAATCAGATAAAAACGAACAGATCAAGCGTTTACACGCGCACCGATCGTTATGAATCGGCGTAAACCGCCCGTTTCGTTCTGATCACAAATTATTTCGGATCACGCTGACTACACAAAAAATAACCCGAACGGTGTGTTTGCATGACGCGTTTTTGTTCCGAACGTCCGTTTGATCCGGTTCCTTATACCATACCATACCAATTTATTTATATAGCACTTAAAACAGCAACAAGGCCAACCAAAGTGCTGTACAAAAGAACACAAACATGCACAGCGAACAGGAAAACATAAAATAGAAATACAGATACAAATAGCAGCAGAAGCTAACTAAAATGGCCAACAGAGTAGAGAACAGACCGGACCAAAACAAATCACACCGTGTTAAAGGCAAGCGAATAGAAGTGGGTCTTCAAGCGAGACTTAAAGACTGAGAGTGTGAGAGCCTGCCGGACACTCAGTGGCAACTCATTCCACAGTCGTGGACCTGCAACAGAGAAAGCCCTGTCACCCCTGAGCTTACGACGGGTTTCTGGGACTGAGAGAAGCATCTGGTCTGCTGACCTCAGAGAGCGCGGTGGGACATATGGCTGCAGAAGATCAGTGAGATAGGATGGGGCGGAACTGTTCAGTGATTTAAAAACGTACATGAGAATTTTGAAATGGATCCGAAGGTGAATGGGTAGCCAGTGCAGGGAGGCCAAAACTGGCGTGATGTGCTCTCTATAGCCTGTACCAGTTAAAAATCGGGCTGCAGCATTTTGGACCAGTTGTAGACGAGCAATGGAGGACTGACTGATTCCAAACAGAAGTGAATTGCAGTAATCAAGCCTAGATGTTATGAAGGCGTGGATCACTGTCTC